ATGTACAAAAGAGAAGACTCTGGTTCGAGACCAGCCTGGCCAACATGGTGAAACCCCATCTCTACTGAAAAAAAATTTTTTAAGTTAGTTGCCTGTAATCCCAGCTATTGTGGAGGCTGAGGCAGGAGAATTGTTTGAGCCTGGGAGATGGAGGTTGCAGTGAACTGAGATCGTGCCATTGCTCTCCAGCCTGGGTGATAGAGTGAGACTCCGTCTCAAAAAAAAAAAAAAAAAAAAGAGAAGCTCCAAAGCCAGGTGGGGTGGCTCACACCTGTAATCTTAGCACTTTGGGAGGCCAAGGTGGGTGAATCACTTGAGCCCAGGAGTTCGAGACCAGCCTGGCCAACATGATAAAACCCTGTCTCTACTAAAAATACTAAAAAATTAACTGGGCATGGTGACACATGCTTGTAATTTCAGCTACTTGGGAGGCTGAGGCATGAGAATCAGTTGAACCTTGGTGGCAAAGGTTGCAGTGAGCTGAGATTGTACAACTGGACTCCAGCCTGGGCAACAGAGTGAGACTCTGTCTCAGATTAAAAAAAAAAGAAAGAAGAGAGAGCAGGAGTGCTATCCTCAAAAACCTGGAGGACTAATCCTGTTCCAGATGGTCTCAGAGGTCATAGTTGGAACCAGTGGCATGGATACTATTAGAGAGGCAGAGGCAGATTTTAACTGCACAAAGGGAAGAACACAAAGCCATCTCAATAAGGGTAAAAAGTACATACCATGGGAAGTGTGTTAGTCCATTCATGAATTGTAATAAAGAAATACATGAGACTGGGTAATCTATAAAGAAAATAGGTTTAATTGGCTCATGCTTCTTCAGGCTATACAGGAAGCATAGTGGCTTCTGCTTCTGAGGAGGCCTCAGGAAGCTTCTAATCATGGCAGAAGGCAAAGTGGGATCAGGTGTCTTAAATGGCAGGGGCAGGAGCAAGAGAGAGCAAGGCGGGGGTGCTGCATACCTTTAAACAACAGATTTCATGAGAATGCACTCACTGTCATGAGAGCAGCCTTAAGAGGATGGTGCTAAACCATTCATGAGAAACCACCGCCATGATCCAATCACCTCCTACCAGGCCCCACCTCCAATATTGGGGATTACAGTTTGGCATGAGATTTGGTGAGGACACAGAGCCAATCCATATCATTCTGCCCTGGCCTCCCAAATGTCATGTCCTTCTCGCAATGCAAAATTCAATCATCCTTTCTCAACAGTTCCCCCAAATTTTAACTCATTCCAGCATTAACTCAAAAGTCCACAGTCCAAAGTCTCACCTAAGACAAGGCAAGTACCCTTCTGCCTATGAGCCTATAACATTAAAAACAAGGTGTTTACTTCTAAGATACAATGGGAGTATAGGCATTGGGTAAACACTCCTATTCCAAAAGGGAGAAATCAGCCAAAAGGAAGGGACTACAGGCCTCATGCAAGTCCAAAACCCAGCAGGGCAGTCATTAAATCTTAAAGCTCCAAAATAATCTCCTTTGACTCCATGTCCCACATCCAAGGCACACTGATGCAAGGGGTGGGCTCCCAAGGCCTGGGGCAGCCCCACCCCTGTGGCTGCTCTCAAGGGCTGGTGTTGAGTGCCTGTGGCTTTTCCAGGGGCAGGGTGCAAACTACTAGTGGATCAACCATTCTGGGGTCTAGAGGATGGTGGCCCTCTTCTCACAGCTTCACTGGGCAGTGCCCCAGTGGAGACTCTGTGTGGGGGCTCCAAGCCCACATTTCTCCTCCACACTGCCCTAGTAGAGGTTCTCCATAAGGGCTCCACCCCTGCAGCAGGTTTCTGCCTGAACATCCAGGCTTTTCCATACATCCTCTGAAATCCAGGCAGAGGTTCCTCAACTTTTACACTCTGTGCACCCACATGCTTAATACCACTTGGAAGCCACCAAGGCTTCTAGCTTGCACTTTCTGAAGCAGTGGTCTAAGCTGTACCTGTACCATACCCCTTTGATCCATGGCTTGAGCTGGCACAACTGGGATGTGGGGAGCAATATCCTAAGGCTGTGTAGGGCAGCAGGACCCTGGGCCTGACCCACAGAACTATCCTGTCCTCCTAGCCCTCCAGGCCTGTGATGGTAAGGACTGCTACAAGTCTCTGAAATGACTTCAAGAACTTTTCCCCATTGTCTTGGCTATTATTGCTTGGCTCCTTTTTACCTATGCAAATTTCTGCAGCCTTCTTGAGGTCAGGAGTTCAAGATCAGCCTGGCCAACATGGTAAAACCCTGTCTCTATTAAAAACACAAAAATTAGCTGTGCATGGTGGTGGGTGCCTGTAATCCCAGCTACTGAGGAGGCTGAGGCAGGAGTATTGCTTGAACCTGGGAGGCAGAGATTGCAGTGAGCCAAGATTGTGCCACTGCACTCCAGCCTGGGCAACAGAGAGAGACTGTCTCAAAAACAAACAAACAACAATAGCAACAATTAAACAGATCTCATAAGAACTCTCACTATCACAAGAACAGCACCAAAGGATAGTACTAAACCATTCATAAGAAACCACCCCTATGATCCAATCACCTCCCACCAGGTCCCAACTCCGATATTGGGGATTACAGTTCGACATGAGATTTGGTGGGGACACAGATCCAAACCATATCAAGAAGTATTCATACAGGCTACATGACTATTTAGCAAGAAAATGCTACTGATAAGAGAATCATCAGGGGAAGGTTCTCAAACTCCTGGTCATAATAGTGAGTATTGAAATCCATTCAGAGAAACTTTTTTTTTTTAAATTTTTATTTATTTATTTATTTTTTGAGATGGAGTCTTGCTTGGTCACCCAGGCTGGGGTGCAGTGGCATGATCTCGGCTCACTGCAAGCTCTGCCTCCCAGATTCATGCCATTCTCCTGCCTCAGCTTCCCAAGTAGCTGGGACTACAGGCACCCACCACCATGCCCAGCTAATTGTTTGTATTTTTTATTAGAGATGGGGTTTCACCGTGTTAGCCAGGATGGTCTCGATCTCCTGACCTTGTGATCTGCCCGCCTCGGCCTCCCAAAGTGTTGGGATTACAGGCATGAGCCACTATGCCCGGCCTAGAAGAACTTTTAAAAGAAATATATTTTTTAAATTTTATTTTTTATATATATATATATATATATATATATATTTGAGACAGAGTCTCACTCTGTCACCTAGGCTGGAGTGCAGTGTCGCAATCTTGGCTCACTGCAACCTCCGCCTCCCAGGTTCAAGCTATTCTCCTGCCTCAGCCTCCCAAGTAGTTGGGACTACAGGCACCTACCACCATGCCTGGCTAATTTTGTGTATTTTTAGTAGAGATGGGGTTTCACCATGTTGGCCAGGCTGATCTCGAACTCCTGACCTCAAATGATCCACTCACCTCGGCCTCCCAAAGTGCTGGGATTACAGACATGAGCCACCATGCCCGGCCAGAATATAATTTTTAAAAACACCAGAATATGTCACATATAATGGTCTGAGTATTGTTTACTGAGACTTTTTTCTTTATATGTGTGTGCCTGTATACTGGGGTTATGATGTAAAATATATTTCTTACTGCAAGTCGTGCAAAAAGGTTTGAAATAAACTTCACTGGATGACCATCAAGGCATCTTCCAGCACTCACTCTGTGAAAGAGGTCTGAACTGTGGGTCACAAGATCCAGGTCCTCCCTCAGCCTTATAATTACAAGTTGTTATCTCTCTGTGAACCCCAGTTTTCCCATTCGTGCAACGATAGTGAAAATTATTTACATCTTTAGATAGAGTGGTCAAAGTCTAAAGCCCCTTCCAATTCCAGAATTTTTTTTTTATTCTAAGAACATCCTTTAATTCAGCAAGTATTGCTCAAACAGTGCCTTCAATGTGCCAGGCACTGTTCTAGGTGTGGGGATACAGGAGTGAACGAAACAGACAAAAAACAGCCCTACCCCTCATGGAGCTTATATTCTAGTGAGAGTAGACAGTAAAATAAGTAAGTGAACTATGACAAATGTTAGCAATAAGTGGTAAGGAGAAAAAATAAGCAGAGATGATGGGTACAAAATATCACGGAGAGGGTTGAAATTCTAGATGGAGTGGTCAGGACATTCTCACAGAGAAGGTGTTTTTTGAGTAAAGACCTGGTAGAAATGACGGCACTAACCATCTGGTGAAGGGCATCCCCAAAAAGGGAAACAGCAAAAGCAAAAGGCTGTGGGTGGGAACATGCCTAGCATGTTCCTTGAACAGCAGGGAGGCCAGGGTGGTTGGAGTAGGTGAGCAAAGCCAGTAGAAGATGAAGTCAAAGAGGTTACAAGGGGCATGGGTGAGAACAGAGTTCTTTAGAGCTGCCTCCAATTTCTTTTGTAAGCTGTGGGCAATAATGCCTATCTTTACATAATTATGAGGATCAAGTGAGCTGGGAATGTGCTCCCCAAACTGAGAGATCCTGCACAGATATGAAGGGCTTACTATTTTGTGAGTTAAAGTAAATGGGGCAAGTCAATGACCATGAGAGAATGCCACCTATCTCCCTCAGAGACTCCCTGGCCAGTCTAGAGCAGGTAGTCTTCTGAAGCAGCAGATCTCTTGTGATAGTGAGTGAGTTCTCACAAGGTCTGGTTGATTAAAAATATGTAGCACCAGCCAGGCGAGGTGGCTCCTACCTGTAATCTCAGCACTTTGGGAGGCCCAGGCGGGTGGATCACCTGAAGTCAGGAGTTTGAGACCAGCCTGGCCAACATGGTGAAACCCCATCTCTACTAAAAATACAAAAAAAAAAAAAAAAAACCAGGCGTGGTGGTACATGCCTGTGATCCCAGGTACTCGGGAGGCTGAGGCAGAAGAATCACTTGAACCCAGGAGGTGGAGGTTGCAGTGAGTCGAGATCATGCCACTGCACTCCAGCCTGGGCGGCAGAGTATAAGACTCCTCCGTCTCAAAAAAAAAAAAAAAAATGTGCAGCACCTCCCATCTCTCACCAGTGGTTGCTCTCTCAAGAGACTAAGAATATCTCGCTTTTGATTGATTTAGAAATTCCATCACCCAAAGTTAAGTAGTCTTCATCGGAAGAACTTCATCTGGAATCTGAAAAATGTTCCTCTTCTGGAGAAATACCTGTATGTCCTGGGCCAGAATCGAAACCGAGAGATTGTCGAGCATGTCATTCATCTATTCAAGGAGGAAGTAATGACCAAGTTAAGTCATTTTCGAGAATGTGAGTATTCTCCCAATTAAGTATTTTTCTTGATATTTAAACTGTCAAATTTCATATCATCAAAAAAGTATGGAGGTACAATTTAGCTTTATCAAATCTTAAAATTTTGCCATATTTGCTTCTATTGCTTTTTAAATAATAATATTTTTACTTTCCTCAAAATTGCTACATTTGAAGCCTCCTCTAAACTTTACATGAGTCTACCTCTCTTCTTCCCATTAAATTTGCACATTACATATGTATGATTTATAAATTATTTATAGTAGGGTTTGTGTTTTTCAAACTTTATATCAATGGTATCACACTGTGTATTATTATTCTGCAACCTGCCTTTTCTATTCAACATGTTTTGCAGATTGAGTCATATGAATATTTGTAGTTTTAGTTCAGTTTATTAGTTTTAACTGCTAAATAGTATTCCATAGTATGAATATACCATAACTTATTTGCATGTACTATTACTATAATTTTTTGTCCATTCTCTTGTTAATGGAATTTTAGGTTGCTTCCATTTCTTTGCTACATAAATGATGCTTCAATGAACCCTCTAGTAGAGGGGTCCCCAGACCCCAGGAACTGGGCTACACAGCAGGAGGTGAGCAGAGGGAAAGCAAGCATTACCGCCTGAGCTCTGCCTCCTCTCAGATCAGCAGTAGCATTCGATTCTCATAGGAGCGCACACCCTACTGTGAACTGCGCATGCGAGGGATCTAAGTGAGAATCTAATGCCTGATGATCTGAGGTGGAACAGTTTTATCCCAAAACCATCCCTCCCCTAGTCTCCTGTCCATGGAAAAATGGTCTTCCATGAAATCAGTCCCTGATGCCAAAAAGGTTGGGAACTGCTGCTGTAGTATATATCTCCCTGTGTACACAGACAAGTGTTTCTCTAGGGTATATATCTAGATATAACCAGCTTTTTCATCCAGCATTAAGTACTGGTCAAAGACAAGGAACTGGCTGGGCACAGTGGCTCACACCTGTAATCCCAGCACTTTGGGAGGCCGAGGTGGGTGGATCACTTGAGGTCAGGAGTTTGAGACTAGCCTGGCCAACATGGTGAAACCCAGTCTCTAATAAAAATGGGAAAACTATCTGGGCATGGTGACATGTGCCTGGAATCTCAGCTACTCAGGAGGCTGAGGCAAGAGAATCGCTTGAACCCTAGAGGTGGAGGTTGCAGTGGGCCTAGATCGTGCCAGTGCACTCCAGCCTGGGCAACAGAGTGAAATCCATCTCAGGAAAAAAAAAAAAGGCAAGTAACTGAAGGGCATTTCTATCAAGGCCTAAGATAGGCAGTATGTGTTTCTCGGTGTTTACTTACTTTGTGTAAACACAATGTAAGGTGTAGCGTAAAAACAGAGTTGATTTTTTTCCCTTTAAACCTGTTTTTCCCCCAGTCTTCTTCATCTCATTAAAGTGGTATCCACCATTCACCTAGTTAATCTGGACAAAAAGTTAGGAGTCATCAGGCTTCACTTTGTTCTTTCTCTCACATCACAAATCCAATCAAATTCTATCCATTCTTTCTTCAAAGGAGAGCCTATGATCTGGATGATTGCAGTGGCCTTATAACTGGTCTCCCTGCTCCTGCTCTGCCTCTCTACCATATATATTCACTTGTCTTCCCCTTCTTTTCTCAATACTACTTTTATAAGATTCTTCGTGTCATTGCATGTGCTAGAGTTGGCTAACTTTTATAACTAAAATATTGTATTCACTAATATACCACACATTATTCTACTCTTAAAAGATACTTGGGTTGTTTCTTATTTGGGGCTACTAAGAACAGTGGTGCCGTGAACATGCTTGAGTCTCAGTATACATGTTCATTAGTCTTTGAGTGTATACTTTGGGGTAGGATTGCTAGGTCATAGGACATGTCTAATGTCTATATTCAGCTTCACTGGATAATACTAATGTTTTCAAAAGTGGTTCTATGAATTTATACTACAGCTAGCAGAGTGTGAAAGTTTTCATTGTTCTATACCCTTGGTGTGGTCAGACTTTTAAAATTTTCTCAATCTGATTTGTACATAATACTTTATCATTACATCATGGTTTTATAATCCATCTCCCTATTTATTGACCATTTGAAATATATTCTTGAGAAGTGCCAAATCAAGTCTTTGGCCTTTTTTCTATTGAATTTTTTTTTTCTCATTGATTTGTAGAAATGCTAAATATATTCTGGATGTGAGTCCTTTGCTAGTTATATGTGTTACAAATATTTTATCCCATTCTCTGGCAAGTGTTTTCATGGTATGGTATGTTTGGATGTGTAATTCTAAATTTTTTTTTTTGAGGCAGTCTTGCTGTGTCACCTAGGCTGGAGTGCAGTGGCGCGATCACAGCTCACTGCAGCTTCGACCTCCTGGGCCCAAGCGATCCTCCCACCTCAGACTCCCAAGTAGCTGGGACTAAGCTATCCACCATCATGCCTGGTGAATATTTTTATTTTTGTAGAGATAGGGTTTCTCTATGTTGTTCAGACTGGTCTCAAACTCCTGGGCTCAAGCGATCCTCCTACCTTGGCTTCCCAAAGCACTAAGATTACATGAGCAACCGCACCAGGGCCCTGTTATTTTTTACAGCTTTATTGAGTTGTAATTCACAAACCATGAAATTAACCATTTATTTATTTATTTATTTATTTGAGCTGGAGTCTTGCTCTGTCACCCAGGCTGGAGTGCAGTGGTGCGATCTCGGCTCACTGCAACCTCCACCTCCTGGATTCAAGAGATCCTCCTGCTGCAGTAACCCAAATAGCTGTGACCACAGGTGTGTGCCACCATGCCTGGCCACTTTTTTTGTATTATTACTCATGGATATTTAGAAGTATAAATCCTGTTCCCCAAAATATGATGAACTTTTTTTGGTTATATATTATTGTTGATTTCTACGGTAATTACATTGTGATCAGAGAACATACTTTATATTAGTGCTGTCCAGTAGGATTTTCTTCAATGAAGGAAATGTTCTATATCTGTGTTGTTCAATACAATAGCTCCTATGTGGCTATGGGCATTTGAAATGTGGCTAGTGCTGCTAAGGAATAGGAATTTCAATTTTATTTTAATCTTACTGAGCTAAAAAAATTTTTTTTATAGCTGGGACTACAGGCATGCATCACCATGCCTAGCAGATTTTTTATTTTTTTTTATAGAGATGGAGTCTCACTGTGTTGCCCAGGCTGGTCTCGAACTACTGGCTGCAAGCGATCCTCCCACATCAGCCTCTGAAAGTGCTGGGATTACAGGTATAAGCCAATGTACCCAGCTTGAATCCTGTTTTTTTTTTTTTTGTTTTTTTCTTTTTGTTTTTTTGAGACGGAGTCTCGCTCTGTCGCCCAGGCTGGAGTGCAGTGGCCGGATCTCAGCTCACTGCAAGCTCCGCCTCCCGGGTTTACGCCATTCTCCTGCCTCAGCCTCCCGAGTAGCTGGGACTACAAGCACCCGCCACCTCGCCCGGCTAGCTTTTTGTATTTTTTAGTAGAGATGGGGTTTCACTGTGTTAGCCAGGATGGTCTTGATCTCCTGACCTTGTGATCCTCCCGTCTCGGCCTCCCAAAGTGCTGGGATTACAGGCTTGAGCCACCGCGCCCGGCCCTCTTTTTTTTTAAAGACAGTTTTACTCTGTTGCCCAGGCTGGAGTTCAGTAGCATGATCTCAGCTCACTGCAACCTCTGCCTCCTGGGTTCAAGTGATTCTTATGCCTCATCCTCTCTAGTAGCTGGAATTATGCACCACCATGCCCGGGTAATTTTTGTATTTTTAGTAGAGATGGAGTTTTGCCATGTTGGCCAGGTTGGTCTTGAACTCCTGGCCTCAAGTGATCCGCCCACCTCAGCCTCCCAAACTGCTGGGATTACAGGCGTGAATCACCACATCCAGCCCTCCAGTTTGAATCGTAATGAATTTAAATAACCACATGTGTCTAGTGGCTACCATATTAGACAGATCAAGCTCTATATGATTTCAGTCATTTCAAATACACTTTATCATGTAGTATTTGGTAAATTTTTATGAATGGTTCATGTGTGCTTTAAAAGAAAGTGTATTCTGCAGTGTTGGGTATGAAGTTATATATGCCCATTATGTCAAGTTTATTAATAATTTTTAAATTTTCTGTAACTTTCACTTACATTTTGGTCTGCTTTTTTTTTTTTTAACAATTATTGAGTAAAGTACATGTTAAAGTATATTTTAATCTACTATGATTGCAGATTGCCTATTCTTTGCTTGTATTTCTGTCAAATTTTGCCATATATATATATGTATATAAATTTTTTTTGAGATAGAGTCTTGCTCTGTTGCCCAGACTGCAGTGCAGGGCTCACTGCAATCTCTGCCTCCCGGGTTCAAGTGATTCTCTTGCCTCAGCCTCCCGAATAGCTGGGACTACAGACGCCCACCATCACGCTGGCTAAATTTTGTATTTTTAATAGAAACAGGGTTTCACCATGTTGTACAGGCTGGTCTGGAACTCCTAGACTCAAGCAATCTACCTCGTTGGCCTCCCAAAGTGGCCAAAGGGATTACAGGCATGAGCCACCACGCCCAGTCAAATTTTACCTTATATATTTTTGAGTCAATTATATAATATATCCCAATTTCAGAAATACATACTTTAAAATCCATGATTTACAATAATATTGTTTCTGTGTGCCCACTCACTATGTTACATTGCTTAAGCATGATTTACACAATCCTAAATCATATAGAAAAAGTCAGCATTATAATTAAAAGTTAAAATTATATACTTTATATCATGTATGTGCTTCAGGGCTTCATTGACATCTCTTACTAATCTTTAGTCAGTGGCTTAAATCCGTGCTTCTTAGACTATCTATGGTAAAAGACAAGTGTGGGTTTTTTCCCCCAACCCATTACAGTCTGGCATATGGTCCTACTATGCAAGATTCGCTTACAGTTCGTGTCACATGCAACTAACCACGGGAGTTTGACAAAACTTGAACTCCTATACGCTCCGTTCAATGAGACAAGGCCACTGATCACACTCTTGGATGTCATATGACTGTAAAATTTTCTAAACACTCTCAACTCTGTTCTTATCTCTTGCAGACTAGTAACATTTTGTAGACCAGTACTGGCCACAGACCCCACTTTGAGTAGTACTGACTTAAAATATCACCACCAGGCCAGGCGTGGTGGCTCACGCCTATAATCCCAGCACTTTGGGAGGCCGAGGCGGGCAGATCACGAGGTCAGGAGATCGAGTCCATCCTGGCTAACACAGTGAAACCCCGTCTCTACTAAAAATACAAAAAATTAGCTGGGCATGGTGGCGGGCGCCTGTAGTCCCAGCTACTTGGGAGGCTGAGGCAGGAGAATGGCGTGAACCCGGAGCTTGCAGTGAGCCGAGATCGCGCCACTGCACTCCAGCCTGGGAGACAGAGAGACTCCGTCTCAAAAAAAAAAAAAATATATATATATATATATATATATATCTCACCACCTATTTCAGTAATCAAAAAATGGGAAATTTAGAATTACCACATTATCAGAAAATTTTGTTTAAAATCCTAGGTGAGGCCAGTCATGGTTGCTCAGGCCTGTAATCCCAGCACTTTGGGAGGCTGAGGCGGGTAGATCATTTGAGGTCAGGAGTTCGAGAGCAGCCTGGCCAACATGGTGAAACCCTGTCTCTACTAAAAATATAAAAATTAGCTGGGTGTGGTGGCACACGCCTGTAATCCAGCTACTCAGGAGGCTGAGGCAGGAGAACTGCTTGAACCCAGGAGATGGAGGTTGCAGTGAGCCAAGATTGTGCCAGGGTACTCCAGCTGGGCAACACAGTGAGACTCTATCTCAAAGAATAAAAATAAAATAAAATCCTAGATGAAAATAAAGGTAAATCTGGTTCATTCTAGGACTCTTTGTTTCTTCTAACAATATGAATATGTTTCTATTCTTTTTAAACATTTCTGGGTTTGAGTAGTTCTTTTCACTTTACTCTTTTAATAGCCAAAATCAGGTATTTGTAGTGACTGCAGTCTCCATCTTCTGGCCTTGTATTGATGAAAAGCAAAACAACCACCCCAAATTAACTGCTTTTATTATTTTCAGATGAAATTATTTTACTTCAAGAAAAATAGGGCTTGGCCCTTTATCTCTGACTGCTCATCAAATTATCTGAATGGCTTTGCCTATGAAAGAGAAATGGAAGGGGAATAAATTGGAATATTCAATAACTATTTTTATGTGATTTTTCTATTTTCAGGTATCAATCATGGAGATCTTAATGACCATAATATTTTAATAGAGTCCAGCAAGTCAGCCTCTGGAAATGCTGAATATCAAGTGTCTGGGATTTTAGACTTTGATGACATGAGCTATGGCTACTATGTGTTTGAACTGGCAATTACCATCATGTACATGATGATTGAAAGCAAAAATCCTATACAAGTAGGAGGCCATGTCCTTGCAGGGTTTGAAAGCATCACCCCACTGACAGCTGTAGAGAAGGGTGCTTTGTTTTTACTTGTATGCAGTCGTTTTTGCCAGTCACTTGTCATGGCTGCATACTCTTGCCAGCTATACCCAGAGAACAAAGATTATTTCATGGTTACTGCAAAAACCGGGTGGAAACACTTACAGCAAATGTTTGACATGGGTCAGAAAGCTGTAGAAGAAATCTGGTTTGAAACTGCCAAATCCTATGAATCTGGGATCTCCATGTGACTGAGATCTCCATGTGATTTTAACGTGGGTAATTAAAATAGGGCCCAATCAAATTTTAGGAAGGATTTTCCTGTATAGTTAAAAATCAATTGATGGAATGGATCAATTCTGAATATGACAGAGCACATGAAATCCCTAAGGTCTTCAAGCAATCTCATGACAATTTTTTAAAATTCACAAAAGTACCACGAGCAAGCATATTTTTCTGTGAGTCTCACTTGCCATGTCTATAAACACATATGATACCATTTTGAATCAGATAATCTCACAAGATCTATTCCAGTCCTGAGATTAATGACTGTTTTTAATTTTTAAAATAATATATACATACAGATATATTGACATATTTTAAATATCTGGACATAACATACTGACCTAGATAACATACTAGCAGTTCTATGAAACCTCCTCTGATCTGTCCTTTCTCTCAAATCCCAGTGCACTGTGTCTTTTTCATGGCCCATCACTTTGCATAATGGATCATGGTTGTGCAGTCATCTTGCCTGAGAGCTATTGAGGGCAGAGACCATGTAAAACTTATTTTTGTCTTCTCATCCCTTCTTATCACACCTGCTATTATAGTACCTTTCCTACAGAGAGGTCTTTAAAAATATTTGAAAATAAATGTGTGCTAGAAGAAAGGATGGAGAAGGCACACACTAAGATGCTTTAGAAGAAAGCACAGACAGCATTCTTTTTTTTTGAGACAGAGTCTCACACTATTGCCCGGGCTGGAGTGCAATGGCAATTTCGGCACTGCAACCTCCACCTCCCAGGTTCAGGCAGTTCTCCTGCCTCAGCCTCCTGAGTAGGTGGGATTACAGGCGCCCGCCACCACGCCAGGCTTATTTTTTGTATTTTTTTAGTAGAGACAGGGTTTCACTATGTTGGCCAGGCTGGTCTTGAACTCCTGACCCTGTGATCCACCCACCTCAGCCTCCCAAAGTGCTGGGATTATAGGCGTCAGCCACCATGCCCGGCCACAGGCAGCATTCTTGGAGAAAAAATTTTAACTTGTCTGAGAGGGTGGTTGAAACTGGAACTCCAGAGACAGATGCTGGAAGACCCTGGGAACTGCAAGGAAGCAAATAATGACATCCAGGCAAGGCCACTAACCCCTCACCTACCCAAATATAATGGTTCCTTTCAGACTGATACCAGGAACCTCCTTAAGCATATATATTTTAATTCTCTATAATTTCTTTTTGGATGACTATGAAGTAGATTGGGTAGACTGAATCTCACTGTATACTTGGCTGAAGGTATCCCACTGTGTTTCCTTCACTGGTTTCTCTTCATGTCTCCTTTAGTATGATTTAGTAAATGGCTGTTTACTATTCTTATGGTTTCAACTATTCATTGTCTACAGATGACTCAAGCCTAGAACCCTGGCAATTCAAACACTCAATAGTTATCTTTCTATATATATGAACAGGCATTGATCCTATCTCCATCTTTCTGTCTACCTACCTAGTCTTCCCAAAGTAGATATTTCTCTAAATTGTCTTATATGGTTCATTTTTCACTTCTTTGTCCCTCGATTTCATTTCATTTCTTTTTTTTTTTTTTTTGAGGGCAGGGGGACAGGGTTTCACTGCAGCCTCAACCTCCTGGGCCCAGGTGATCCTCCCACCTCAGCCTCCCTAGTAGCTAGGACTTCAGGCATGTGCCACCATGCCCAGCTAATTCTTTAAATTTTTGTAGAGATTGGGGTAATACCTATCTCATACAGTTAACAGAGTTCATTGTGAGAATTTAATGAGAGAACAGTGCCAAGTGCTTAACACAGTGTAACACATAGGACTCAGTAACTATTTACTCTTAATAAATGAACCATATTCCAGGTTACCCAAACTCAAAATATTGAAGTAATTTTTTGCTTGCCTCTCTTATATTCAGTGAGCCCTACTGGTTTTTAGAATCGTAGAATTTTAGGAATCTCTGTCTTTCCTGAATTTTTTGGGGTTTTTTTTGTTTTTTTTTTTTTGTTTGAGACAGGGTGTCAGTCACCCACGCTGGAGTGCAGTGGTGTGATCACAGCTCACTGTAACCTCTACCTCCTGAGCTCAAGCAATCCTCCCACCTCAGCCTCCTGAGTAGCTGGGAGTACAGGCATGTGCCACCATGCCTGGCTAATTTATTTTATTTTGTAGAGATAAGGTCTCACTATGTTGCCCAGGCTAGTCTCAAACCCCTGGACTCAAGCAATCCTCCTGCCTTGGCCTCCCTAAATGCTAGGATTACAGGCGTGAGCTATCATACCCAGCCTGTGCTGTTTTTTAACAATATATAATAAAAGCCAACATTTATTCAGCACTGAAGTATTTTACACACATTAGCTTACTCAATTTTTACAACAAACCCATGAGGGAAGTACTGTTATAATTAATTCTCATTTTCAGATAAGAAAATAGCAGCTGAAAAAGTAAAAATAATTTGCTCAAAGAGAGCTAGGGCTTAAATCAGGTCTTTCTGATGCAGACCATGCTCTTCACTACCACAAAGTTCCATGCTACTTTCTCTCCCTCTCCCTCCTCTCCTGTCCCTGCTGCGCGCGCACACACACACACACACACACACACACACACACACAGGCACACACACTCACACACAGGAGGAACAAATGAGATCATTCACATGAAAGCACTTACGTCTCTCAAATTTAAGGGATTGTGGTTTTTATCTAGTTTGACCACTCAAGCTAAAAACTAGGAACCAGAAAAATGGACTGAAACTTGGGTTTCACTTTCAGACCAGTGTTGATCCTCTGAATTGATGAAACTCTATAGATTTCCCTCTTGATTGCCCCTGCTAACATAGATTTCCTTTCACGCAATTCCTAATGCAGATATTGCTGACCACTGTTTAGATGTTTATATGCTGCATTGCATTGATATTTTACTATTTGGTGTTTGTTCTAACTTGTCTCCAATCAATCAATTTCATGTGGTTTATATAAACTCTTTGGTGGCTGTGATGGTTAGTTTTAGGTGTCAACTTGCCTGGATTAAGGGACACAGAGATAGGTAGCAAAGCATTATTCCTGAGCATGTCTGTGCAGAAGTTTCCAGAAGAGACTGGCATGTGAATCAGTAGCTGAGTAAGGAAGATCCCCCTCACCAATATGGGTGGGCACCATCCAATCTGTTGAAGGTCTGGATAGAACAAAAAGACAAAGGAAAGATGGATTCAGTCTCTCTCCTGGGACAACCATCTTTTCTTGCCCTCGGATAGCAAAACTCCAGGTTCTTGGCCTTCAAACTCCAGGACTTAACCAGCAGCCCCTCAGGTTCTTAGGTCCTCAGCCTCAGACTGAGTTACACCATCATCTCCTTTGTTCTCCAGCCTTTAGACTCAAACTGAATCACACAATTGGCTTCACTGGTTCTTCAGCTAACAGAGAGCAATCGTGGGACTTCTTAGCCTCCATAATTTAGTTCCATAATAAATCCCCTCCTGTCTGTCTACCTATGCATCCATCCATCCCATTGATTCGGTTTCTCTGGAGAACCCTAATACAATGCATAAATTAAACATTTATTTTACTTTACCTTCAGGACCTAGCACCATGCCAGGCCCCTAGAAGACCCAGTAAAGATTTGTTGAATAAACTGTAAGAATGAACACACCACTACAAGTGCCAGGTCCTGGTCCTTTCAAACAACGTGGAGAAAACCCAGTTCCAGATTTAGGAATTAATACTGTATGTCTGGCAAAGACTCTTTGCTCTTGCTAGTGCCTTCTGTCCAGGCTTTTAACCCCCCTGGACTACAACACACCTTTACTTTCTGGTGTTCTTAGTCTCCCTAACCTCTGCACTTTGTATTATGTAGGCAGATAAAAAATCTGGTTACATATATTGCTCTTTGATGACCAAAAAAATTGTGGCTTAAAACTTTAATCATTTTATTAGCTTATGGTTTCTGGCAGTCATGAATTCAGACAGGCCCTGGGACAGTTTGTCTCTGCTCCCCAGTGCTGGGGCCTCAGCTAGGAAGACTTTAAGGCTGGGAGAGATTTGATGCCTGGGAGAGACTCAATCACTGTGTAACCGAACACTCGTTTCTTAAGAGTCCAATTGACAAGGGTGAGGTATGATAGAAAGACAGAATTTATTAACCAAAAATAGTAAAGGGAAAGCAGTCAGATTCCTTTCCAAATTAACGGCTTCTATTTTTAGGAAGAAGGCAGGGGTTTAAAAGGAAAAAACTTGATAAGGAAGACATGCAAGAACTGGGCTGAGTACAGTTGTCCGTGTGTCTTGTTCTGGTGGCTATCTTGGGTTCTGGTCCACCTGGACCCTGGGCTGATGGCATTTCAACAATGGCCAGGTTGTTAACTAGCTGCCTTGAAGTAATCTCTGGAACCTTGCAGCTGGGTCTCCAGACTTGGTCTCTGTGTCTCAGGATTGACCCCTGGAACTTCTAAGAAGACACATAATTAGATACTAATAGACAGTTATGTGAAGGGAGTATATATGATGAGAAAGGGAAGGATGTGGAGTCTAGAAAAGGCTTCTGCAGTTTGCTTCAAGGTTGTATCTTTAAACCCAAGGAAAAGGGGGAAAAAATTTTAATGCAGTTTGAAGCTAAGCTGCCTGGTTACAACTGGGTACTAGGATCATCTGGAGGGATCTTCACTCAGCTATTTGGCAGGTGATGCTGGGACTTCATCTAGGCTGTTGGCCAAACACCTCTCCATGTGGCCTTTGCCTCCTCACAGCATAGTGTCTGGGTCCCAAGAACGACCATCCCAAGAGGACAAGACAGAACCATATCACTATTTGTGACTTGCTCTTGGAAGTCACATGATATCCCTTCCATTGTAGTCACAGGCTCACCCAGATTCAGAATAAGGGGACACAGAACCTCTCAATGGGAACCATCTGTGGCACATTGTAAGAGGAACATGTGAGATGAGAGATGTTGACGGTTCATCATCCTAAAACATCACTTTAATCCTGTCTTCCCATTACTGACCAAAACAAATTCTGGCACTAAAAGCACTCTACACTTTGGCCTCAAACACCTTTCCTTCTTTACTTCCTGTATTATCTCCATTCAGATCAGACGGAACTACTCAGTCACCCACACTTGTCAGACTCATTCTTCTTTTGTCCTTTTTCTCAACTAATCCTTCTTCTTTTGACCTGAGAAATTCTACCTCTGACTTAAAAGTTACTGTTCACTGAATTCTGCAGAATGAACTAAGGTGGCAGGCAGGGGCCCTCAGAGATGCCATACGTTACACCACCTGAGGATGCTTTCAGAGCACCACCTGTGTGTGACTCTTTGCCATCTTGCCTTGGCTCACTTCCCTGTGTGCTTGGAAAGCAGAGATGATAGGTGAGACCCCAAAATGCAACTTCCAAGCCATCTCCTTTTCAAAGCCCACATCCCCCAATTATTTTGCAACCAACATGAAGAGGACAGAGTTTCTGCCCAATGGGTTGCTTTTTGGGAGAGACTGAGCAGATGACATCATATGAACCCAGATCTAGTCAACCTTCTAGCCTGAAAAAACCTGAAATGAATAGTAGATAGTTTACATAGGGACTGAGGCTGAATGAGCAAAAGGGTGGAGAGATGGATAATGAACACATAAACAAGTATGACAATTTCAGTAAAGAAGATAAAATGGTGCAAGTATATGCTGACAGTAGGGTATTGTTTTAACTACGCTGGTCAGGGTAATCCTTTCTGACTGGTGAAAAGCAGAGAAACACCAAGTGAAAATTCTTCTAAAAGTGTGAACCTGACCATAATTTTTTTTTAATTTTTAGAGCCAGAGTCTTTGTCTGTCACCCAGGCTGGAGTGCAGTGGCGCGATCACAGCTCACTACAGCCTCAAACACCTAGCCTCAAGCCATCCTCCTGCCACAGCCTCCCAAAGCAGTAGAATTACAAGCGTGAGTCACCATGCCCGACCATCATCATAATTTTTTTTTTTTTTTTTGAGACGGAGCCTCACTCTGTTGCCCAGGCTGGAGTGAAGTGGTGCACTCTTGGCTCACTGCAACCTCCGCTTCCTGAGTTCAAGCGATTCTCATGCCTCAGCTTCCTGGGATTACAGGCGTGCACCACACACCCGGGTAATTTTTGTAGTTTTAGTAGAGACGTGGTTTCACCATGTTGGCCAGGCTGGTCCCGAACTCCCGACCTCAGGTGATCCACCCTCCTCGACCTCCCAAAGTGCTGGTGCTGGGATTACAGGCGTGAGCCACCCAGCCTTCCTCATCATAATGTAAATGTCCAAAATGTATACATCAGCAGTAAAAGTGAAAGCCAGAATGAAAAAGGGAGATGATGACAGAGGTAAAGTCTCATGTGATTGGAACCAT